ATCGGGCGTGGGCGGTGGCGAGGAAAAGAGTTCGCTCGAGGCGACATGCGCGGCTGCGACCGCCCGCTGCGAGGCGGCCGCGCGCGACGACCCGGCCGTCGCGCGCAGGGCGGCCGCCGATAGGGCGGCGGGGTTCGCCGCCGGCGACGCGGCGAGCCTGGGGGCAGCGCGGCTCATTCCGCGAGATCCTCTCCACAAGCGGATTCGGCGTTCAGGCTGAACCAGTCGAGCCTCCCGCCGCAGCCAGACTCCCAACCGGCGCCGTTGTGGCGCCACCCCTTCGGGCTCGCGCTCGGGCGGACACCTGAGTTGTCGTCGAGGCCGTATGGCCCGCCCTCGAGTTCGAGGGGCGCGGCGTCGACGCGTTCGCGGTGGTCCACTGACCAGCCTCGCTTGATGAAAAGGTGGTTCGATGTGGCCGATGAGGCGGAGGGAAGGCGAACGGATGGACGGAGTAGGGGCCAGGCAGGAAGGAGGAGGGTCGGATCAGAGACGGGGCATGGATGCATGAGAGGGGCGAGGGGATCACTTGCTGGCGAATTCAACGATGCCCCCTGCCCCCCCCGGTTGAGGAGGACGCAATAAGCGTCAGGGGATGAGGGCGCGGACGATGATGAGGAGGATGAAGAATGATATCGTGTGACATAGTATAAAGATGATAAGGGCGAGGCGCGCGAGGAGGACGAGGGTGAGGATGGAGATGCGTCGGAATGTGTGTATGAGAAGGAAATGAATAATGAGGTGGCGGGGGGGTGACCAGGGATGGGCGAGGCGGAAGGCACATGCTGGGCGCTAGGAACATGGACCAAATGATGATGTGCATGCGGCCCGCGCTGCTTCCGCATGCCCTAGACGCGCGGTCTGCGATCCGCGCAATCCTGACTTTGGATGCGTCTTGGACGCGCCCATGCTGCATCCAAATCGCGCCCGCATATGTGTGAGGTTGGGCGCGAATTGGGGGCAGTTCGGGCGCGTCTAAGGCGCATCCAAGCTGCTCGCGCATGGCGCGGTGAGGCGGATCGGCAGTGGGCGCGCGAACGCCGACGGCGACGACGACGGTCTGCCATCAGGGTGGATGGGGTAGCGCAGCGAGGGAGCTCACTCGTGGAGGGATGGAGTGAGGGATGAAGGGGGGGAGGGCGAGAGCAGGGGCGGAAGAACTGAGACACCGTCGATGAGTGATGCGATGAGGGGGCGGGGTGGAGAGGGCAAGTGCGAGGCAATAGTCGGCTCACCTCCAACCCTTCCCTTCATGTGCCGTGACGCCTCGTCGCCCCTCACCCATCGTTGTTGCGTGTCTCTCCGCGCGCCGCCCAGGATGCCCTCGAACTCTTGCGCGCTGCGAAGCTGACGTGCTACCTCTTTTTATGGCTCGGCTTCCTTGGGGCCTGCGCGTGCGTGTGCGCGCGCTACGCGCGGTGCAGATCGCGCGCGCGCTGCCCTGTGCGCTTCGAAGCATGATGCCCAGCAGGCGCTGCAGAGTGCTGGCGGTGCCAAGCCGATCTATAATGTTGGCCTCAGGGGCCCCGCGCGCGTCCGCGCCAGAGGCGGCGGCCCGTATTCGCGCGCGGGCTGGAAGGCAACAGGATGGATCAATTCCACCAGGGCCCAGAAGGTATACCCGCCCAGGTTTTGCGCTGCCGTTGCAGATCTGGTAGTTGCCGCCCTCCCTGCGCAAGGCGCGCGTCGATTGCACGCGCAACGCACGCGCGCGCACGCGCGCGCGCCCACGCACATACACGCACATGCAAACACGCACACACACACACACACGCGCACCCGCGCACGCGCACACTGCTCGGGCTCCAGCTCCCATGCGTATTTGGATCCAGCTCCAATCGGGTCTTGCGAAACCTCGGCCCAGCGCTACTGGGCACCTCCTACAGCTAGACAAGCCGCACGACACGGCGCGCCGACGCACGGCGCTCGGCGCGACGACGCACGGCGCTCAGACGCACGGCGCAACGCGGCGCGACAGCACGCCAATATCGTGCATGCGATGGCGTCGCCCGAGGTCTCACTCGACATCGCATTCGGCGGCTTTGCCCGATGCCTCGCGTGATCCCGTTGCCCCAGGCCTCGCTCCATATCGCGCATTACCTCGTCCTCCCTCGCCCCCCGAGCTCTCGCTGCAATCCAGCCACGCGCGCGGTCGCGCTCCGAGCTGGATGCGCACTTTGCTGTATTTGTATACTTCGTATACGCACTGTCGATCGGGGGCTGGGCGTCGCAAGATGACGCAATTCGCTGGTAATGTCAAACGTCCTCTCCATCATCCTCCCGCCCCCCCGTTCTTCCTCCTCATATCTATCCCGCCCGCTCCCCCTCCTCTTCCGCGAGTTTCCACTCCTCGAGGTACCTATATATACGCATATATCTGTAGATATGTATATATATATAGAAATATCGCGTACGGGGTGGAAGGCAACAGGGTGAATGAATTCAACCGGGGGCCAGAAAAGGATACCAGTATATGCCCGCCCAGGACTCCAGAATATACCCGCCCAGCAAACCTTGCGCCGATGGCGGGGGCGCAAGGGGGGGTCGAGGAGGCACGGATAGAACGGGGAAGTACGAGGGACGGGATGCGCGGGGGGGGTCGAGGATGAGGATGCTGCGCTGCCGTTGCTGCCAGTGCTGTCGTTTCTCGGTGCCTTCGGTCCTCGCCGCCGTCGTCGTGGTCGTCGTCGACGTCGCCGTCGGCATCGTCGACGCCGTTGTTTGTCGCCGTCACCGTCGGCATCGTCGACGTCGTTTGTCCTCGTTGGTTCTTCGTTTTCGAGGCCACAATCGACGTCTTTGCCATCGCCGTCGTTTCCCATCCAGCATCCGTTTGCAGTGTATGAGGCCACGCCGACGATCGCAGCGACGCGGGCAACGCCATAGTCACAACCATGTAAAACATGCGAACACATCAAACACCCACACATATCAGAAAATCATATGCCATAGAAATACGAACCACACTTGATATCTTAAAATAAGATCCTAAAGACCTCTGGGTAGGGCTTGTTTCGCCGGGGCTCGTGTCGCCGGGCGCGTGAAGGATCCAGCGAGGGAGCAGGGGGGGCAGGCGGGCGGGCCTTATGACTGGCGGGTCGGGTCGGGCGGGCGGGCCTTATAATGGGCGGGCCGGGTCGGGCGGGCGGGATTAAAGTGAGACGCGACATCGATTTGGCACGCGCGAGCCCTAATGGGCGGGGCGGGTCGGGTCGGGTGGGCGGACCTTGACGGGCGGGTCAGGTCGGGCGGGCGGACCCTAACGGGCGGGTCGGGGCGGGCAGGCGGGGCATCAGAGTAGGACGCATTATCGAGTTAGCACGCGCGAGCACTGAAGGGCGGGTCGGGCGGGCGGACCCTGACGGGCCCGTCGGGTCGCGGGCGGGCCCCAACGGTCTTGTCGGGTCGGGCAGGCGGAGCCGGGCAAATCTAGGCTCGGGCGAAGTCAGCTTGGGCGCGTCGAGCCGGGCGAATCGAGGTTCGGGCGAAACGAGCCGGGCGATTCGAGCTCCGAACGAATTGAGACTCGGGCGAATCGAGCCCCAGGCGAGTCGAGCCTGGGCGAGTCGAGCCTGGGCGAATTGAGCTGGGTGAATCGACACTCGTGCGCATCAAGCTGGGCGATTTGAGCTTGGGCGAATCGAGCCGGGCGAGTCAAGCTGGGCGAATCGAGACTCGGGCGAATCGAGCTGGGTGAACCAAGCTGAGCGAATCGGGATTCGGGCGAATCGAGCCAGGCGGGTCGAACCGGGTGAATCGAGCCGGGCGAATCGAGCTGGGCGAATCGAGGATCGGGCGTTTCTGGCCGGCGAATCGAGCTGGTCGACTCGAGCCTGGCGAATCGAGATTCGGCGAATCGAGTCTGGCGAGTCGAGCTGGGCGAATCGAGATGCGGGCGAATCAAGCCTACGCTGGCGACGAGTGCGCTCCCCAGGAACCCCGACATTGAGGACCAGAACGCCCGAAATGGTCTGGCCTCGAGCCGAGCGCCCGATGCTCAGGGAGGACGGCGCAGACGTCGCCCACGGCGACGACGGCGGCGACCCGCGCCGCGGCGGGCGCCGCGGCGGGCGCTTCCGGAGGACGGCTCGGGTTCGCTGTTTCTCAGGTCTTTCCATGACTGCTCCTCTTAGCGCCAGCATTCCTGACGGTAGTGCCCTGCCGTTCCTCATTCGGCGCTTCGTACTGTGGTAGCTTGTCTGTGCCACGATCGAAGAAGACACAATTGCACAAATGTAAGTGTTTGCCAGCGAACGCCCCAAGCAGTGAGTAATTGAATTGTGGATGTGTAAGCTATGCGTTGCAAACTATAGAATGTGTAATCTAAACAGTGCAGGCTACGTGGTGCAATATACTCGGTGTAATCTATGTGGCGCAGGCTATGTGGTGCAAGCTATTCGGTGCAAGCTATGTGGTGTAATCTACGTGGTGCAGTCCGCGTGGTGCAAACTATGTGTTGCGAGCCATGTGGTGCAAGGTCTGTGGTGCAGGCTATGCGGCGCAAGCTACGTGGCGCAGGCTATGTGGTGTAAACGATGTGGTGCCAGCTGCGTTGTGCTGCAAGCTGCATGGTGTCCGTTGTGTGGCGCAAGCTGTGCGGCGCAAGCCACGTGGTACAGAGCGCGCCGGAGGCGGCGCCGCTGGAGGGGCCGCTGCTGGAGCCGAGCGCCCACCCAAGAAATCCGCGGGAGCCTCCCACAGCTTCTGCCCCTGCAGCTTCTTTGCCCTCCCTCCAACATGAGTGGGGACTGTCGGGAAATCATCTCCTGCAGTACGCCTTGTCCTGCGTAGACCCCCGACGCGCGCAGCTTCTCATGCGAGGCCACGGCCTCACCCGCCTCGCCCTGAAGGGACCCGGGCGCATGCCCGCACAGGCGTTCCGTGCCCCGTGCCCCGTGCCAGCACGGCCGCACACGACGTGCACGCCGCTGCCGCAAACGTCGACGACGGCCGCGACCAGCGGCGACATCGTGCCGCGGGCGGGCGCTCTTCCCCGAGAGGAGGCCGACGACGACGACGCGGCCCTCGGCGCGCCGGACGCCGCCGTGTACGAGGACGGCCGCCGCCCGCGCGGCCGCCGCCCGCCGCCTGCCGTCGCTCGCTGGCCGCCGCCGTCCGCCGTCCGCCGCCGCCGCGGGATGCAGGTCGGTCGGAGGTTGATCGACCTCCTACCCTGACACGTCGATTAAGGAACTGGCCGTTTTCGGTTCGCGAGGGGGCGTCGCGGCCGTCATTTTTGCGGGTCCAGGTCCGTCGGTTTCGGTCCCAGGCCGCTTTCACTAAGGGGAGGTTTTTTAAAGGGAGGTTTGTCCACCGCCGAGTCGGTCCGAAGGCTCGAAGTTTTTGGCGCAGGTGCGAGGTCTGTGGGTTCGACGGTGTCCGCTGTGCTCGGCGGCTCTCCAGCCTCGGGATGCGTGCCAGCAGCTGCGCCTCGCCGAGAGGTTTCGTGGGGCGCCCAGATCGTCGGGAGCGACCGCCAGAGACCCGAGTCACGGCCGCTGTTGTCGTCGTCTTCCGCGTCGGCCCTCGGTTCGATTCAGGTTGTTTTGGGGGGCGCTCTTTCTGGCTCTCTTTTTTGGGCCTTCCCGGGAAGCGCCCTCGTGCGACGTCCTTGTCAGAAAATTCCCCATGTGAGGGTCGTCGCTGCCGTCGACATCGCCGTCGTGGCTGTCGTCGTCGTCGTCGTTTTCGTCTGCGTTATGATGGTGGTGGTCGTGGTGGTGGTCGTCGTCTTTCGTTCGCACCCCCGCGCCCGACCATCCTGGGGCAAGCAGTGGCGGGGGCGGCGGCTGCGGGCAGTGGGCCGCCCGCTGGGGTCAGCAACCCAGACTCGCAGATTGATCGCATGCCCTGAAGTCGCTGGCGCCGCCCGGCGCGGTGGCCGCAGCGGCCGGAGGTTGCGTTTCCGATGCGCGCCCCAGTGGGGACTTTGAATGCCGCGAGCGCTTAGAACGCACGGCTTAGTTTCATGGGGTGCTGCCGGGTGGGGGCGCGCAGTGGGCGTGGGCGTGCCGCTTGGGGACAGAGCCCTCGAGTTTGGTGCGGGGGCTGGCGTGCCCCGCGCGCCCCCTCATTTCCCGCGACCCGGTGGGGCCCGCCGGCTACGCGCATCCCAGCGCAGAGGCCGGGGCGCTCGAGGCGCGACGGGTGCCGCCAGAAACATTCAGCGCGTGCAGTTCCGCGCCATTCACTGTCTCCTGGTGTTCGCGATGGAAGGTGGGGCAGGATTTGCTCCCCACCTCCGTGGGCGGGTGGACCGGAGCACAGCGGGTCAACGTTGTGTTGGATAAGCTTTATCACATGTAACATTAGACAGACTTGCTGGGGTGGCGCGGGTGGGGGAAGCACTTCCGCCCGTGACCATTTGGCTCGAGTGCATGACTTCGTTCGCCCATCCCACCCCCCCGTCGACTTCTGACCGCGCCGTTGCCGGCGCCGCCAGAGACAGGGGGGTTCGGCGGGGAATTGTACAGAGCTGGGTGGAGGCGCGCAGTGAGCGTGCCGCTTGGGGGCAGCGCCCTCGTGTTTGGCACGGGGGCTTGCTTCCCCCGCCCGCTCCTTCACCTTGCGCGGCCCTGGCGGCGTCCGCCGGCTACGCGAATCCAAGCGCGCAGGCTGGCCGCTCGAGGCGCGACGGGCGCCGCCAGAAACATTCCGTGCGCGCAGTGCCGCGCAAATCTCAGTCTTCAGACGCTCGCGATGGAAGGGGGCAGGTAGGATTTGCCCCCTTCCGTGGGCGGGTGGGCGGGAGCGCACAACAGGCCAACTTTGAACAGAAGACATTCAATCATAACATCGCATATCATGACATACCATTTCGCAACATAACACACCATGGCAGAGCAGCGCATGCCATAACACAGCATCGCAGCACATATCATTCCATAGCCTGGCACATCAATTATACCAGAACGCATCATCGCAAACTTGAACATGGCAGCGCAGAACATGTCAGAAAGCCACGTAATTAACATGACATGCCAGATCATGGCACACTGCAGCAACTTCAAAACAAAAAAGCACATGCTATGCGAGATTGGAGCATGCAGGACATACCATAACATAACATAGTGTAACAAGGTACAGCAGAGCATCACATGGTTTTCGACAGAGCGCGATTGTGGTCCACCTTCGAGCTCTCCCCGCCACCCCTCCCTTGAAAAGGGGGGGTCCGAAGCTCCCACCCCCCCTTTCTGCGCACATTTCGGAGCCACGGGGCATTAGGCCCGACGTAAAAGGGGGGGGGCTTGGAAGGTACCCCCCCGTTTTCGGGGCCGAAGGTCAGCCTGGGTTTCCCTGTCAAAGGTGGGGAGGGCCTTCGGAAACTATCCCCCTATGCGCAGCTGAGATTGCCGTGTCAAGGGGGGGGCTTCAAAGCTACCCCCCGTTTTTTTTTCCGGAGCCCAAGGCCAGCCCGGGCTGTCCTTCAAGGGGGGGGCTTCGGAAGCTAACCCCCCTCTTCGCAGCTGAGATTGCCATGCCAGGGGGGAGGCTTCAAAGCTACCCCCCCTCCCTCCTTTTCCAAAGCCCAAGGTTTGCCGGGGCTTCCCTTTCAAGGGGGGGGGGCTTCGGAAGCTACCCCCCTTCCCTTTTTCTTGCAGCTGATGTTGGTTTGCAAAGGGGCGGGGGCTTCATTGCTATTCTGTTTTCCCAACCATCCTGTGGTGTTGGGTGTTCGTTTTGAAGAGACGGTGCCCCGTGTCTTCCTCCTCCTCCCTTCCTCTCCTCCTCCCCCTCCTCACTCTTCCCGTCACCCCCTTACTCCCTTCAATTTGGCACACCCATCGCACGTTTCGTGGCCCCATAGGAAGCTCCACCTTAGGCCCCAGTAACTGCGTTCACATGCCGCCTCCTCTCCACTTTGGCGCACCCCTCACACAATTTGTGTTTCCATAGGGAGCTCCACCCAAGGCCCCACTGGCTGCGTTCCCAAGCGCAGAATGATAATCATCTTATAGCATGGCATATCATAACATGACAGAGCGCGGCATACTATACGATAGCATAGCAGCGCATAGCATAGCATAACACCATGAGCTATTACTTTTCACACAGAGCATAGCATAACGCCACACCTCTCGGGGGTGTGCCTCCGTGGGGGTCTTGGTGGCATCTCGGGGTTCCTTGAGGCAGCAACGCAAGGAACGACTCAACGCCAGCTCGATGTACCCTTTTGGGTGCTTATTTACTTAGGCCGTCTTTGGATCCTCTTAGGCCATCTTGGGGCCCTCTTGGGCCGTGTTAGAGCCCTTCTGGGCCGTCTTGGGGCCCTTTCGGAACCGTATTGGGCTGTGTTGGAGCCCTGTTGGGAGCATTTTGGGCAGTCTCGAACGTTCGAACGCCCGAAATGGCAATCTGTTAACATGCTTTAAGTCCTGAGGATCATCAGGGCTTTTTGCCTCTCGAGCGCCTCTTGGGCGTCCTCTTGGAGCTGCCTTGAGGCGTCTTGGATGCCTCTTGGGCCGTCTTGAGGCCATATTGAGGCCCTCTTGGACTGTTTCGAGGCCTTCTTGTGCATTATTGAGACCGTCTTGGGTGCCTTTGGGCCGTCTCGGGGCGAGATTGTATGTCTTTGGGCGGTTTGTGGCTGTCTCGGACCCGCCTGGACGCATACAAGGAGGGGATTTAATCTGGAGGACAGTCGCGATGAGGGGAGGGGGGTCGGTCGGCCCTAGAAAACACGAAAAGAACTTCCATACATCAGAGGAGCAATCTAACACGCCCACTCTGTGCAGACACAGTGGCGGGTTTTTTGCCGGGAGTGAAGGGTGGATCATGCGGAGGACGAGGAGGAGAAGGGAGAGGAAGAGGAAGGAGAGGAAGAGGAGGAAGAGGAGGAGGCGAAGGCGAGGACCACCTGAGGAGGCGGACGAGAAGGAGGGCCTTCTCAACGAGTCAGACCAAGGCCGATACCGAGGCCGCCTTCTCGGATCCTTGGCGCCTCGCAGGAAACCTCGAGACACCTCCTTGAGCTTGCGGCCACCGTGGGCAGTCGGACGCCCCGTGCAGGGGGCAAACGAGGGACCGAGCAGACGATTCCTGCCACAGCACCGCGATTCTTGCCACAGCGCCGGGATGTGTAAAAAACTGCCGCGAGCGAGTGCTGAGTCTTCGATCTTCCCATCCGCTTCGTCTTCTTCGATGCTCTTCGTTTTTTTCATGGGGGGTCACGAGAGGAGGGGGAGGGGGAACCAGAGGGGGAAGTGGGAGGAGGCGGAGGATTTGAGCAGGACGAGGAGGAGCAGGAGGAGGACGACAAGAAGGAGGGCCTCCGCCTCCTGCCCTCCCCGCCTTCCGCGCATCCCTCCCCCCCCGCCGTGCCCTCTCTCTCGAGGGCCACAGCGGCGGGGGCGCCGCCCACGACGGGATCATCGGAGTGCTCGAGGACGGCCGCGAGCTGCGTCTCCCTCGGGTGCAGCTTCGTCTTCCCAGGCTCTGTCTTCGCTTCGCCCTCGGTCACGTCTCCTTCTTGTTCGCCTCAATGTTCGTCTTCTCCTTCGCCTTCCGCTTCGCCTTCTCATGATTACTCGCCCTCGTTTCCGTCTTCGTCTCACCGCTCGAATCGCTCGAGCCGGAGACCCAGTCGCTGGGGACTTGCCCGCAGAGTTTGGCCAATTACGCGTAAGAGTGACCCTTCGCTGGAGTGGCCTTGAGTGCGCGGCTTTCGGGGGGGTGGGCGCGGGGGGGCCACACCCGAGCACGCAAGCCGCCATTGCTGCAGCGCGTGCAACTGTCGGCAAGCCGCGCACTAGAAGGTCACCTTCGCCTAGGATCACTCTTGCGTGTGGAAGAGAACGGGGGCGGCGGAGGGTTCGAGGCTCGGACTTCTACACGTCCACTGCCTTGGAACTCTATACACCCGGACCCGGGAAGACGGTGGATATGGATCTATTCGGCCCCTTTGGTCCTGGGAGATCGGTTCCCCTTCTCCTTGTGAAGGAATCACGGCGGAAAGTGTGTGCTCAATCTCAGCCTCCGGGGATCTTTGTCTGATGCGGTCCCGGGGGAGCGGGTCCAGACTGCTGTGGGTTCACGATTTGGGGGCCGCCCCTGGCGCGCCCCGCGTGCCTGGCGACAGCGCCGACCGAAGAAATCCGCGCGGACCTCCCTTACTTGATGTTTATGCAGTGTTTCCTCTTCTCTGCGGAAGCGAATCCACCGCGCTTGCCTTGGGTCACTCTTGCGTGTAGCCGAATGGACGCCCCGTTGGCCCAGAGCGTCTGGTCCAGGAGTTGCCCCCTATTTGCTGTCCGCAGACGCAAGGACCTGCTGGCGAAGGCGGAGGGGCAGCTGGACGGCCTCCGCAAGGCCGAGACCTCCTCGCTGCAGAATTTCGAGGCCGGGGCCTTGGTCTGCGCCGCCTTACCAATGTCGGGCGGGGAGGCCCTGATTGTCGGGACGCGTCCCACGGCGGAGGGACCATTTTGAGTGAATTGTTTTCGCTTCTTCGGCACGCGCCTGCCGTCCATACCGTTACGGCGTGTGCCCAGTGAAGCAGTGGAGCTGTGGGTTCCTAATGCTCCACAGCGGGGCAAGAAAAAACCTTACCAATGCCCCTGAGCCTTTTGGCGACTCGGAGGTCGTGGATCGAGGATGAGGTGGGGGAAGAGCACGGCCGACATGGTTGGTGGCTTGAGAGGGCGAGAGATAGGGAGAGAGAGAGAGAGAGAGAGAACAAAGAAAGGGTAGATAGCGAGATATATTGTACGAGGGGGAGGAGCTGATATTTGTATACAAGTTTATTGTAGTTGCAGTTATATATCTTTATAGCGAGAGAAAGCAGACAGGGTGACCAGAGAGACAGCGTACTGGGGGCGAGCCCGACAGGTGCTCTCGCAGTCGCTGAAGGACCGCGGCGCGCTTCCATGCCCCGGCCCTCCGCTGCTATGGGGGGCCTGTCGCCGATCTATCGAGAATGCATGGTCGATTCCTGGTCGATGCTGTACCCCCTGAACCAGTCCCCCCTATCCCACCAGAGGGGGTGCCCCCTGGAGGGAAAGAGGGTAATCGATGAAGCCAGCGCCCCGGAAGCCATGAGGTTGCAAAGTAGGGTTCTTCGAGACAGCGCATCGACTCACGGCCGCTGTTTTCTGGGGTGTGCCAGCATCGTGGCTTGTATCACATCACAGTCCCCGTCATACCCTCGGCCTTCAGCACCCAGACGTGACCAGCAGGCGCTGCAGCGGGAATGCATTTTCAGATGATCGAACACGTTTCGATTCCACATGTGCATCATCGAACATGTGCCTGCCGGGAGAGCGTCAATCCGCTGAACGGAAATGTGGCAAACGTTGCAGCGGAAGTGCCGTTTTGAATAGACGAAGGTGCTCCGATTGGAACGCAATCACAACAGCTTAGCATTTGAAGGTGTGCGCGTGGAACGAAGCAGCATTCAGATATTCAGTATATGTCGATAGGGGAGATGAGAAGGAATAGGAGATGTAATGGTGATGGTGAAGGCGATGGTGATGGTGGTGGTAATGATGATGATGCTGATGATGATGAAGATGATGATGCTGATGATGATGATGATGATGCTGATGCTGATGATGATGCTGATGCTGAAGATGATGAGGAGGATGAGGATGAGGAGCAAGATCAGGAGGATAATGATGATGATGATGACGACGTGATACTGATGATAAGGATGATGATGGTGATGATGATATAGGTGATGAGCATCATGCTGGAGGTAATGACGATGATGTCGATGATGATCATGATAAGCATGATCATGATGATGATGACGATGACAATGACGATGATCATGCTTCTGATGATGATGGTGATGGTGATGGTGATAGTGATGACGATGATGCTGATGCTGATGTTGATGATGATGATGATGCTGATGATGTTTAGGCTGATGATGATGCTGATGATGCTGCTGCTGATTATAATTATGATGATTATGATGATGATGGTGACAATGATAATGATGATGATGTTGATGATGGTGCTAGTTCTGAGTATGATGATGCTGATGATGCTGATGATGCGGATGATTATACTGATGATGTTGATGCTGATGATGATGATGACGATGCGAGTGATGATGATACTGATGATGCTGATGATGATGATGCTGCAGATGATGATGATGATGATGATGATGATGATGATGGTGGTGGTGGTGGTGGTGGTGGTGGTGCTGATGCTGATGCTGATGATGCTGCTGCTGATGATGCATATGCTTATGATGCTGCTGCAGATGATGCTGATGATGATGACGATGATGATGCTGATGCTGGTGCTGCTGCTGATAATGACGATGACGATGGCGATGACGATGACGATGATGATGATGATGATGATGATGATGATGATGATGATGATGATGATGATGATGATGATCATGATGCTGATGCTGATGATGCTGCTGCGTATGCTGCTGATGATGATGCTGATGCTGCTGATGATGATGAAGATGATGGTGGTGGTGGTGATGATGATGATGAGGAGGAGGAGGATGGTGGTGATGCTGCTGCTGATGAGGATGATGATGATGCTGATGATGATGATTATGATGATGATTATGATGATGATGATGATGATGATGATGATGATGATGATGATGATGATGATGTTTGATGATGATGATGATGCTGATGCTGATGATGATGATGATGATGATGCTGATGGTGATGATGATGATGCTGCTGCTGCTGATGATGATGATGATGATGATGATGATGATGATGATGATGATGATGATGATGATGATGATGATGATGATGATGATGATGATGATGATATGCTGCTGAAGTTGATGCTCATTTGGGTGGTGGGGTTGGATGTGGTGGTGGTGGTGGCGGTGATGATGGGCATTTGGAAGAGGAAGATAAGGAAGATGAGGAGGAGGAGGGAGGAGGCGAAGGAGGAGGAAGAGGCGGAGGAGGAGGAGGAGCAGCAGGAAGAGGAGGCGGAGAAGGAGGAGGAGAAGAAGGGAGAAGGAGAGAGGGGAGGAGGATGAGGAGGAAAAGGAGGGGGAGGAGGAAGAAGAGGTGGCGGACGCGGAGGAGGAGGAGGAGGAGGAGGAGGAGGAGGAGAGGAGGAGGAGGGGGAGGAGGAGGAGAACAGGGAGGAGGAGGAGGAGAGGAGGAGGAGGGGGGGGGGATGAATGAGAAAGTGGTACGGGGATGACGACCGGGGGAGGAGGGGGGAGAGGTGGGAGGATGATGGGGGGCGGGGAAGGGTGAGGAGTAGGAGGAGGATGATGAGGAGGAGGAGGAGGAGGAAGAAGAGGAGGCGGACGCGGAGGAGGAGGAGGAGGAGGAGGAGGAGGAGGAGGCGGAGGATTAGGAGGAGGAGGTGGAGGAGGAGGAGGAGGAGGACGAGGGGGAGGGCGAGGGGGAGGGGGTGCTGGAGGAGGTGGAGGAGGAGGAGGTGGAGGAGGATGTTGTTGATGCTGATGCTGATGCTGATGCTGCTGCTGATGCTGATGCTGATGATGATGATGATGATGGTGATGGTGATGGTGATTGTGATGGCGATGGTGATGCTGCTGATGATGAGGCTGAGGATGCTGATCATGATGCTGATGCTGATGATGATGATTAAGTATGGTTATGCTGACGTAGACGATGATGGTGCTGCTGCTGATGATGCTGATGCTGCTGCTGCTGCTGATGATGATGATGATGATGCTGAGAAGGATGATGATGCTGATGCTAACGATGATTATGCTTACGCTGCTGATGATGGTGATACTTATGCTGATGATGGTGATGATGCATATGCTTATGATGCTGCTGCTGAGGATGCTGATGATGCTGGTGATGCTGATGATGAAGATGATGATGCGGATGGTGATGATGATGATGCGCATGATGATGAAGATGATGATGATCATGATGATGATGATGATGATGATGATGCTGATGATGATGATGATGCTGATGCTGATGATGATGATGGTGATGATGGTGATGATGATGATGATGATGATGATGAGGCTGATGCTGATGATGATGATGCTGATGATGATGCTGATGACGATGATGGTGGTGGTGGTGGTGGTGATGATGATGATGATGATGATGATGATGATGATGCTGATGATGATGATGATGATGATGATGATGATGATGATGATGATGATGATGATGATCATGCGGAGGAGGAGGAGGAGGATGAGGAGGAGTAGGAGGAGCAGGGGAAGGATGAGGGAGGAGGTGGAGGAGGAGATTGAGCAGGAGCTCAGCAGCAGCAGCACCAGCAGCAGCAGCAGCAGCAGCAGCAGCAGCAGCAGTAGCAAGAGCAGCAGCAGCAGCAGCAGCAGCAGCGTGCACAGGTGCTGTAGCAGGATCGGGAGAAACCGCTCACCGATAGTGGCAAGCAGTACCTGTAGGGGGGCTCGGGGTGGCACAGCCTCTACAGCAGCATCGTGATTCCCTTCCTTGTGTTCCTCCCTGTCCTCCCTTTCCCTCCTCTCCGCCTCATCGTCCTCCTTGTGCCCCTCCTTCTGCTGCTGCGCTCGCGCACTCGCGCGCCACACGATCCCGCGGCCCGCTGACGGGGCCGCCGCCCGCGCGCGGAAGAGTGCACCGCGCCGACCGCAATCCCGCCGCCGACCGAGGAAGAGGGGTTGGGTCGAAGGGGGCAGTGCCGTCGTGAATCAGTTTCTTCTTCCTCCTCCTCCTCCTCCTCCTCCTCCTCCCCCTGTAAGTTGAGGGGGGCCAAGCGAGGCGCTGCGGGGGTGAACCCTGCAGCTCCCTATATGCAGCTCCCTGCGCTGAGGGGGGGGGGGGAGTGCGAGAGGGGCCTCGCCGCTGAGCCGCCGTGCACGAGCACTGGCCTGCGGTGCCCGCGCCGCATCCGTCGGGCCGGGAGATCTTCGACTCGCGCCGTCACGGACGGGGACTGGCTACTGTCAGGCGATCGCAAACATGGATCAAAGGGTCAGTGTCGCTTAACCGACTCCCATTCCCATCCTCATCCCCTTCCACACCCCCACCAAATTACCACCCCAGCTGGGGATACACCCCTCGAAACCCGAAGGGAACGGCCTATATCCCCATCTAGGGGTGTAAATCGGCCAGTGGGGCCAAGGCCACGCCGCTGGGGATGGGGATCGGTTGAACGATACTCAAAGGGGGCGTGGATGAGCGGCGGGTCCCGTTTCCACGGGAGATGGCGGATATTCGCCGCCGAGCGAGGCGGCACCAGCCGCGTCTTGGGGAGGCGACCGCGCGCCAAATCCATGGATGGCAAATCCATGTTTGCGCGCCCCCGATGTTGCGTGCGTCTTCTCTTCTGCGCGAGCGGCTCCTCTGCACGGGGGGGGAAGGTCGGAAGCATCGCGAGGAGAAAGGGTCGGGACCTCATATTCCGAGCGC